TGAGGAAGCAAGCACAGACCTGCACGGGATGGTACGACCTTGGTACACGGCGTACACGGCTAAGTCAATAAACTGTGTGACGCAACGTTACTAGTGCGTTGGACTGACGGAGAGAACCGATACGCGGCACTCTCTACCGTACTCTCTCGCTCGCACGCCTTCCCCCATAGCCACTGAAATTCCTCTACACGCGTCAACACCGACGGAGAGCACCGATACCGCGACTCGCTCTACCGCTCTCACTCGCACGCCGGGATGTCACCCGATTCCCGGAATCCCGCTACGAGACGGCTCATGACGGTAAGGCATTCCCGCAAGGGAAATTGTAATGAATGGGAATAACATAATATGAAACTTCTTTACCTCTTCTTGAACATTCATACTCCCATATAAATTATAAATATGTAAATTTAATAAAAGCGGTGTATATTTTCCCCCACATATAGATTTGATAAACTATTTATGAAACTACATCTATTCTGAATTTATCTGTTACTAATATACAAATGTAAGGCACAGTCTATATTTCTATGTCTATGATGATCATAGTATGATCCCAATGCTGTAACATCAATGGCCGCTACTGTCATTGGGTATCAGCCGTCATTATTGTGACAGAAGTCCAGTTTTTCTCTAGCCTATACTTTCATGTCTTATTTATTCGATTTGTATTAATAATCTTGATTCAGACAGTGTTTTCACAATCTCTTAAACTAAATAGTTTACTGGCGACATGTTTGAAGCAGAAATTTAGACGAGATCATAGATGACTGATCGAGGTCAAATATGTGTGACTGATATTTGTCTTGCATGAAAAGGAAGAATTTTGTATTAAACTAGAATCGTAAAGATGGGTCCTCCACCGGTGGTAACGGGAGTATCACCCAAGGAAGGACCACCGGGAACCCGTGTGATTGTTCGTGGTGAATTCTTGGGAAACAAAGCTCAAGATCTCGTAGGTTAGTATCCCTCTCAACAATAATACTCTAAATATTTTCGATTAGGTATTTTTATAACATGAAATGCTTATAGGTTTGACAATATGCGGATGTGATTGCCTTTTGTCGGCGGAATGGAAATCTACCAACAAAATTATTGCTAGGTCAGGACCTTGCAAAGGTCGTGGGGACATTATAGTAACCACACATGGTGGAGGGCAAGGCACATCAACGGTACAATTTCGTGGTTATCACGAAACAATAGGCCCTATGAAAGAGTCAGCAGTATGGGTAGAAGAAGCTCCCTTGCAAAGTTTTGGGTGGGAAAGACGGACTCTATCCCCGACAAATTATCAACAAGAAGACCCTCTAGGCCTTAGTGTAGAGGGCAATGAGTATGTTCATTTTAGGATGATGAATTGACAAATGTTTTAATTCTTTTCTTTGCAGCAAAAAGTTCCCAGAGGACGAGCTAATAGAACTTTTTGGAGAAGGAAGCGGTGATCTTACCAGTGAGAAGTTTCATCCTGGTTGGTTTCTGTTACAGCATCATCATGCCACTACTTTTGGAGATTTAAAAGCTGGATTGGCATTTCTTAAAAGAAAAGTAAACTCTCAAAAGGAGGGTGAATTATCATTTTTGAAGGTGATTAAGTTAAAAAAAAGAATTCTTATCATATTCTTTTGACTTACCATTGTTTATAATTTGTAGGCCAATGTAGGGTCTGTAATGGAACAATTGGACACAATAATGTTATTAAAAGAGCAGTTTGAAGCAGATATAAAAACGTATGGTAGTGATCCTACTGAGAAATTAGAAAAAGCTATTCAGCAATCCATGTCAGAAGCTAATAAATTATTCGATGATGTATTAGCAAGAAGAGATAGAGCAGATGCTACAAGAAATGCTTTAGCTGTAATGCAACGATATAAGTTCCTCTTTTGTATGCCAATTAATATAGAAAAGAATATAAAACGGGGCAATTACGATCTTGTAATTAATGATTATGCAAGAGTAAAAAATTTATTTAAAACCACCGAGGTGGACGTTTTTAAACAAGTATTACAAGAGATCGATGATAGAGTCGACATGCTTAAGATATTTTTGAGGAAAAAACTAGAAGAAATGCCCTTTAGTTTGGAGGAACATAAAAAGATAATTAGAAATCTTGTTAATTTGGAGGCTAAAGGCGATCCAGCTTGGAACGCGATAGGTATTCGTACACATAAAATATGTTCGTATCAAATAAAATACTAATAATTACGTTTTCAGTTTCACACGCGAATTATTTGAAGAAAAGTATTACCGCGTGTGTACAAGAAGATTTGGAATCAGACAATTCAAGTGGCGACGATCTGAACGAAACAAAATCTTCGTTGAACAGTAAACAATCAAAATCAAACAAAAATGTTGGAACCAATATGCCACCACAAATATTATGTACCGAGGCAATTTGTGATATTATTGTTGAACAACTGCCTGATCTTTGGAGACTGGGTCAAAGTTATTTCACAGGACAGCTGCATGTTGCAGTTGATGCCGAGAAACAAACACCTTTCAAAGTAAATTAACGTAAATTCACAACGTTAATAAACTTAACATTACTGAACGACACAATGATTATTTGATTCAATTAATTGCTGTAACGCAGACTCTAGTGCTATCTAGCATGCAACACGCCATGGAAGCTATGAGAAATACATGCAGCAATGATTTAGACGCAGTTTGGCTTCTACATATCTTACGTAGGATCAGACAGATGTATGCTTCATTAATTCATTTGGATTTACCAAGTGATGCGCTGGACATTTTCGGAAAACTTATACTGGATTTAAGGTATAAAACACCTTAACCTTTTAAGAATATACATACTCTTCTGTTATATCATGCAATAAATTGAATGTACCCCTGAAACAGATTGCAGTGCTTTGCTGCTCTTTTTAAACAAACAGCAAAGAACATAGGAGCTTTAAACAAAAAAGAAACTTGGCAGATTGAATATTTAAACGAAGATGGCGGCGTCACAAGAGTGGTGATTATTTAATTTGTGAAATTTTCTATACATATCTATAAATTTGTTAGTTAAATATGAATTTTGTTCATTTCGAACAGCCATATTTGTTCGAGGAAATGGTCATGGAAGTTTCAAAGCAAGCAAGAGATACAGCTGTCGCTTGTGGCCCTCGAGAAAGTGCACTGTTCGCCAGTCCTATTCATCAACAATTATATTACAATTCTGTCAAAACGTTATTCACATCGTTTGACCGATGTCTCCAGCAGTTGGCATTCAGTGGCTGTGAGGAGGCTTTGGAGGACGACGAATCCTCTGTTTCTCAGCTAGTTGGTTCTCCTTCTGGCTATAAAAGCAAAAGCAGCAAACATCCTGGTCCAGTAAGTTCGCCACTCTGTTTAAAATTGATTTTACGATATTAACGATCCGTCTATTAGCTCTGTTATAAGTGATTGCAATTGGTAGAGTCCTTTGAAATCGATGCTGCATTTTATCGTTACTTCTGAATTTTTTATCAGACATGGGAGCAATGCCTTTTGATCTCATTAAGTAACATTCGTTATACATTGAATACTATTGTACCAAAAATTGGAGATGCGTTGAAGGAGCTGGATTACCCAAGCTTGTCGAACGCTGTCGGATGGAACTCTGACTGGACGCAGTTGGAATCATTGGCTACTGTCTTTTTAGACGCGTACTTGGAACGTCGTTGCGACCCATTGGTCGGTACGATCGAGCCCAGTATGTATCTAGGTGGTTTGGAATGGGATTATGAAACTGAACCAACTCATGTGAGACCGTACGCCCAGGAAATTCTAGCGAATCTGATTGCAGTGCATGCAGAAGTAATGATCACGTCTGATTTTGTCTAAAAACGAAATAGGATTTTCGTTATTATCAATTGTTTCGTTTGGTAGGTGCGTCGTGTCTCCCCAGGTTTATTACAACGAGTGCTGTCTCATATTGTGGAGACTATAGCAGAGGAGCTTGCGAGACTTATGTCTTGTGTTACTCAATTTCGACCTGCAGGGATTGTTCAGGCACGAACCGACATCGTCCTTCTACGGAACGCATTGCAATCTTACAGTACAACTAGAGCAAAGTACTTATCTTATTCATTGGAAACTACTAATAATTATGGTCAATTTTTAAAGTGACATTGATTGACAGAAACTTTTTCGAGGAAGCTCTGGACGCAATACCCCAGCCAGTCAGCAAAGAAGACTGTATGCGAATCGACATTTTGTTGTCGAAGGTGACAACGTCCATGCAGTTGCAGTTGTCGTGTCTTTCCAGCAACACAAATCATACTCTGCGACTGGTAGCCGATCCTAATCGCGTTACCACTGTATAATTGTAACAGTACCTTTAGCAATTAATTTATTACACTCGACCTTATATTTTTATACCGTTACAACGGGATTCGCTGTATTATACTATCCATAGTTATTGCTGTTGTCATAGACAGACTAAACGAGTGTCATCCTGTGATGTAAAACTGTATAAACAATTACGCGTGATAGCTATGATAAATAAAAGATGTTTATTACGGAAACATATCATAAAAGGATATCACTTGGACGTTTTTGTGTTTTCTTGTTGGTCAAATTTCTTTACCAGCTGTAAAACTCCGGTGTCTGCGACCAGTAACACAGTATCGCCTGAAAGTTGGTATAAATTTTAATGTAGTATTACTATCTAGTCTTATTTAGTTGTGAAAGTTGAGTCATATGGAAGAAAACTGCTAATCGAATAAATTCATTAACCTGTCTGGAACATTTGCGTGGCTCCCTTGGCGCTAATTATACAAGGCAGACCATATTCTCTAGCTACAACAGCTCCATGACTTATAAGACCACCCATTTCCGTGACTATGCCACTGAACAAAGCAAAGTATGGGCTCCAAGCGATGTCCGTAGCACGTGTAATTAAAATATCACCATGTTGTATTTTGTGAGTTTCCAATAGATCCGTGATCACACATGCTCTGTTGAGGACAGAGCCACCGCATACCGGTGTTCCTTGAACCTTTACTGAAGCGTCAATCACCGATGCACCCAAATCGTTCTAAAAGGCGATATCGTCATTTGTTATTTTATAAACGTCCATATAATTTTTTGCTAAACGAAGTCTTCTACGAATGGCCCTAGCACAATATGCAAACATTTACAAATGTTTCCAGAAATGATTTAATTTCATTTGATTGATTAGTTATTTACCTTTGAACAAGCGAAGTAGTGCGATAATTTAATACTCGTCCGATTTCTTCGTTCGTCAAAAAGAATATAAGATCTTCAGTAGGTAGATATTCCTCTAGGACCATCAACCTCCCCAATCTTCTGTAAGCTAACCTGAATTTGTGTACAATGCTTACGTATAACGCCTTCGTCAATTCTCTACGAACGACAGCTGTTCTACAAAGAGGTACGAGTTTCTTCAGAATCAACCTGGACAAATTTGATTTCGGCGTCTTCAGTAACGCCACCGATTCCTCCACGTTTAATGTCTTTTTCATGGTACTCGTTACCGGAGACGTTACCATTGTCTGGTGAAGATATTATTATTTAATGATTCAATAAATCTCACTGCACGCGCACCATTTCTACGTAATTTGGTTTACCTGAAGCGTCGTGATAAGATTCTCTGGACGAAGGCACCAAGGTTCATAAAAGAAATCCGTTTCTTGAATGCATCTGTGCCCATGCTCTTTAAGAATATTCTCAAATTCCGTCGCAGCTGGTGGACAGTTAACTTTCAACCAATCGATACACTTCGTAGGATCGAGTTCCTTAAATTCTTTGTCCACTTTGCTCTTTTTAACGTAATTCACTATTTTCTGGAATCTCGTCGCTATCTGCCCGCTAATGATATCACTACAAGAGCCTAGTAAAATAGCAATGTCTGAGAAATGATCAGGTATTAAGTCTGCGTATCCCTTCGTCAAGATTGTCATTGCGAAAATTTGATAAGTAACACCGACTCTCGATGTGTGCATATGAAAATGCGATGCCTGAAAATTTCACGTATTCTAATTGTCTCCTTAAAATTATTTAGTAACGACGAATTACTTACTTTGGTGTAGTGCGTGAACCGTTTATTAATTTCATTATATAAACTGCAGGCGGTATGGAAGTCTTCTGCGTTCAGAGTTAAATCTTGATAATTTTGTTTGGCAGCCTTTTCCACAGCGGTACACTGCACTGCATCTTTAAGCATTGAATACATTAGAAACATCTGAAAGGACCAACTAGGTTCACCGTTTCTTTCAAGAGCAATTTTATGAATTTCAGGCGTTAACACAACATTCCCAGAAACAGCCACGTCGATAACTTTATTCAAAAACGTAATATGTTTGCGAGGATGTGCTAAAAACATCTACAGCGAAAAACAATGTTATTATATTGTCCTTCTTTGTCTTACACGTTTAAAATTAACTGTTTGTGAAATAACTCACGTTATAGTAGTTCAATGCGTATCTCATGCCTACGATATTAAATAAGCAACGATCCTTAAAGAACCATGTAGCACTTATTATATCATTGTAGGCCTTTTCAAACGCAGAGATACTTAAAGGCGATATTGGGTATGGGCATACTTCGCCTATATTGGCGAACGATAGTATATCGGTATCGCTTGGCACGCCATTGTCTAATTCGTGCATTAACTCAAATTCCGTCCACGTGTACAGAGTAGTAATAGGTCGTGCTTGAAGCAAGTAAATCTTTTCGCCGATCACTGCCCATTCTATATCACGAGCACTGCTGAACAGGGTTTCTAAGTTCATCCCAATAGCGGCTAATCGGAGAGCGATGGTCTCTGATATGCAGATTTCATTATTTTCCTGCTCATTCAAATCAACTGTGACCAATCCATTTTCGTTTGCCAGCAATTTCTGCCGTTTATTCCCTGCCGTCGAACTTTTCACAGTCAATTTGTTATTCCAACTTTTATGAATAATTATCGTATCCGGTTCAACCGAGGCCGACACAACGGTCTAAACAAAACGAAAAAGTTGGTATGAATTAATACTATATTTTCACTTTGTACGGTTACTGGTTTAATATTAGTGTAATTGTACCTCCCCTAGGCCATAATTAGCCGTGATAACGATATTTGAGGGATCTGTGGTAGTTGGATGTCTGGTAAACATTACTCCAGCAGTATCAGCGTTCACCATTTGTTGTACACAAACTCCCATAGACGCTTTTATAAACATGCCGTGATGTTTTCTAATGTATGAATATTCAAAGTTGGAATCTAGGATATTTATGGATTACAAATGTAACACCAGCTAAATATTACCTATATTTGACACTTTGATACGAGAACAAACTTGCCCAACACATGGCTACGTTCTTAATTATATTGTCCACCCCTTGAATAGCCAAAAACGTTGCATTTTGACCAGCTGCCGATGTTTCTTCGCTATCTTCACCAACGGCACTAGACCTTACTGCGTATCTATTTAATATACCACTGCCACTTTCCGATTCTAAGTCATTCATTGCTTTCAAAATGGCTCCTTTTACTTCGTCGACTACAGGAGTCGACTGAATAATCTGTTTCGCCCTGAAAGTATCACACAATGAACACTATATTGTTGAGTGATCAAACGGTAAAGAATAAAACCAGCAGGCGATTAATGTACTTTTCACAATACTGTTGTAGATCACCCTCTTTTTTACCAACGCTAACGCGCTCAATATCTTTGATAACATTCTGCAATTCTGTATGTGTATGTAATTGCAGCTCCAAAGCGAACACTGTAACGCAAAATCCTTTTGGCACAATGAACTGCAAATGATCATTTAAGTTACGTGTTGAGAAATCAATGATGAGCAACGACGAGCTTTTTTTACAGTTCTTACATCACCGTCTTTAATTGAAGTTAACACTGCAAGTGAGAATCCTTTTCCGCCGACAATATTTTCGTTTTGACATTTTCCGTCGTCAAAACGTACAACATAATCGCTTCTTTCCACGTGTACATATGGTTGTTTTAAATATTGCAATTTAGGAGGTGCTTTTCCCTTGTATAGCCCGTTATACGAATGACATAACTGCAGCAGTCCAACACCTATTAAAACATTATGAGTGAAACTTTACAAAATTTATAAACAATCTTTTAAGATATATTCGATACCAATACCTGGTTTTCCATTGAGTTCCAATTCCACTGGAATAATCGTGTTTAACCAGTTCCATGGTTGTCCATAATACACGGTTACTGAATCAGTGCACTTCACAGAAATATCATAATCTTTACCTTCAGCTAAAATTAAATGTGTAACAATTATGTACATAAACTTTCAAACTATATTTTCATATGAACTGTGAACAACCTCTGAACCACGTTCTGTGTTTCGAGTTCCCCGTAAATTCTTTTTGCATGAAATCAGATAATTCGAGTCCCATACTGTCCATTATGTGTATCTCTTCACTACTGTGTCTAAATTGTCCACACCGTATCCTGTAAGCAAGTAATGGAACATTAGAAATCTTTTCGCAAATGACACATTGTTTCACTTACTCTGGAAAACTGTGTTTCGTACTGCTCGTATTCAGATAGTACAAGGCTCCATGCAACATCACGCCGAACAATGTAACAGATTCATTGAACTCTTGAGACTCATGTTGTCCCCAACGATGCTGGTGAAGCCCTCGCAAATACACGGTAGAAATAGCTCCGTCATTATATTTTATTTGACCTAACAAAGATCCAAAATAATCAGCGCCTGTATGATCCAATTGTTTTCTGAAAAGGTTCAGATCATTGTATTATATCCAGAAACAACAGAATAATTTATACGATTATGCAGTACATTTTGTTTATCCACTCTGGACTCTTCCACTGTTCATGAGCTAGCGCGTCAGCGTGCAATTTAGGGCTCCAATCTTCTGGCCATTTTAATGGTTTCGAATTTGCAATAAATCTAGATAAAGGATTCAAGTGTTTAATTTTCAGTAAAGTTGACTGATAGTTACGATCAAGATTATTTATCTTACAGGAAGTTCAAACGAACATGTTCAATATTTTCGTCACTGCATTCATCACCGTGGGCAATGTTCCTAAGCATACCGTTGTAGACTATTCTCCAACGTTCTTGGGATTTTAATGGTTCAATTTTAAGACCTGCTGCTGTCCATACTTGATTGAAACTGCTGACCAAAGCAGTATCTGGATACACTGTTGAAACGAAGCATTTAATGGACTTTGTATTAACGAATTGAGAAATTGTTGTTAAACATATACTGTACCAGGCAAAACGTATAGACGGTTGTCAGACGTTGTAAGGTGCAACGACGCTTCTACTTTTTTAAAGCCTCTGTAAGAGAATTTTATATGTAGAGAATTCCCGTGTTGATCTGCACCGTAAAAAAGCATGCTGTCGCTACTCTATAAAAAATCATAATCACTGTAAAATAACCGAAAATCTGTAATAGATAGCTGAGCCACACAGTTCATATTTACATCTTTGTCTTTTATTCTTGAATTTTCTAGCTGATTGTTTTTATTCTTAGTCGACTTCGTTTCTTTTTTCTTTCGCATTTTGAGACAGCATTCCGCCCACCAATGTTTCAGTAAGAAATTGATACCTAAAAATAATTCGCATTGCTGAAGTCTGACATTAATTGATTTTCTTTTAAATAATAGTATATACTTACTAGGAATTACACATTTTGAACACGACCCTGTCGAACACTTTCTTTTTGCAGTTTTATTCAGCCAAAAATACAGCCACAATGGGACCAGAATGGAAAGTGTAACTTTCATAAGAAACCAAATGCTGATCATTTTTAATTCTTATTTCAAATAAGAATGATGATGCTTCAATTAACGTTTCATGAAAATGAAGCTCATCACACCATGTACAACTGAATGAGACTTCAATATTTCTTATCACAAAGTTCAAACGATTCTTAATCTTTATAATCTTTATCAGAGATGGCTACTCTTTATAGTTCTCCAAAAGATTTGCTTATCAGCTAATCCAGTAGATACAATTTAGTGCCATATACGTAAAACACTTTCTAACAATACATATTACTCGCCGTCGACACAGTTGATATCGGATTGTTTATATATAGTCTTGGATGTAAATATTTATAAAGTGTCATTCCAAGAGACACCTGTCTACTAGAACATCCAAGACTATACTAGTAGGAAATTAAGCAGCATCCATTACCACTCCAGTGGTTTAACTCTATACTAAGTGACCTTGGTCACGATTATGTAACGAAATCATACACCGATTTCTGTAATTCTTACCAGTGTCTGAAAGTCAATTTAACAAATTTCACGGAACATCAATGTTTGTACGACAAAAGATTTGATTAATTTTGTATAAATTAAATTGAAATAGACGTGATTTTCTATTATTAGTGTAATCTAGAAAGTTTTGAAATAAAACACCAATCTATATGTGTCACGATCCAATCTCACATTTTCATTCTATTTCCAAATCGCTTATATATAAAAAATTCCTGTAAAGAAACAATGGTAATATATTCAAAAGATGTTGTGCCGAATGTGTTTTTTATAATTAATACTGCCATCTGTGTAATTTCGTCGTCAGAATGTAACATTGCCACGCTCGATATTATACGTTTCATTAACAAATACGTCATGTTGATTTCACATGTCAACAAGTTATCACCGTCTTACTATATATCACAAACAGTGAAAAATATAATTTTAACCCTATGTAACATTTTTATCTCTAAATTGTATTTAATTGGTTTTTTTACTCGAGCTCCCGTAATCGACAGATTCTTCACCAATTGTGTCGCCGTCTGGTCGAGACTTATCAACGGGGTACAGCCTGAAAAGAATCGTATTCGTAAAAATCTAAGTATACGTGATGTTCGCATAAACGTTAAATATATGACTCACCATCTTTGATACAGATAAATAAGAAAAATAGTGTCGTCTCGGAAGCATGCTATTCGATGTGCGGTCGGTGTAACAATTACAAATGCAAACACATCGTCGATGAATGTATTAAACGCTTTATACATGAATGTTCTCCATGGCAGATGCGCCACGGATTTCAGTTTATAGTTCACGAACAGTTGAGGAAGCATGAATAGAAATCCAAATGCATAAACACCATTCACCAACGAGTTTATACTCCACGAGTACCAACTGAAATTTCGTGTAATGCTTAGGCAATATTTTTAAAGGCTCTAATTAAATTGAAGATAAAATCAGATTACCTTTTGTGCGGTTGATAAAGCAAAGAATAAATCGCTCCCCCAATAACAAGAGGATATAACAAGTAGCTTAAATAACGCATGCTTTCCATATCGAATTCTCTTGTTTTCATTTCAGCCACGCTATTGTGACTTTTGTTTAGTCTAAGCTTCAACACCTTCTTCAGTTTCCATATCTGTTTCAAAAAAAAAATACAAGTATAAGTACAAGAAACTAGTGTGCGCTTTATTTAATATATTACCTCAATTATAGATCCTATTCCAGCAGGCATAAGCACAAGCAAAGAGGAACCTTCTTCAAGTAGATAGAGGAATACAACAGTCTGACTGATCCCTCTCCAAACAACAGTCCATCTACTAAGGCCAACAAGATTATCTTTCCTCCTCCAATAACTGACATCATTTTTAAAGGCAAGAAAATCAAACAGCAACTGTGATAATGCAGAACATCATAATACTAAATTAGTCTACATTGTTTCTTAGTTATTGCAATGCGTACGTACATGAATGGTTGCAATGAAGAATGTTCCTCCTAAAAGATATATGTTAGTATCTGCAAAAATGCCTTTAACTTCGTCTACATCTTTGTCAGAAAATCCAAGATATTTCATAGTCTGCATAGAACCTTCAACGTGCAACAACATCCTCAACTTTCCAAGGGAAATTGGTGAATACTGCAGTGTCATATTAACTGTATTATTGTGCGGCATTAGTCTCACTAAATCACTGTGTCTAGTTTGTAGGAAATCATTTTTAACAATAGGTAGAAATGTTCTGCCCTGTACAATCCTACAAAAGCAAACATTTGTCTAGAATTAGTTTCATAAGCACTGATGGCTGCAGAAATAGAATTATTAATTACGCACTTTAAGTGATGTATAAGTTCTGCAGGTACATTGTGAACAGGAAGTTTTATATCATCAGTCATTATTGTAAATGTTATACGGCTTTTTATGTGTGTCACAGGATGTAGAAACGTTTCTTTTTTCTTCTTTGCATTTGAATCCTTCTCTCCCAACAAATTAATAGCCTCTGCTTTAGGAATAACATATTGTGTCATCTCAATAGCGGTGTAAGATATATATGGATCCTAAAATATACATAAATTAAACATTCATATAAATCTAACTTACATCTCTGTGTGCACTTACTTTTTCTACATCCATGATACTTTCGCGATGTTTATTAGAACTGGGTTCAATGAAAAAATGGAGGAACAATGTCCCATTGTTTCTTGTTTTACGTGGAACATTCAAAGACACTGGACTGGAGTAGATATCATCATTTGATTATTATTATTACTGTTAAATGGTTTGTTAAAATGGAAAAAAACAATGTGCACCAAGAGAATAGAATAAATTAATGGAAGAAAAAAAATCACGTATATGTAAACAAAAACAGTCTGTGTAAATGTATACTCACAAACTGTTTGAATGCGTGTAATTAAAATCTCTGGCGCTGTAAATGAAATCTAGTTGCTGTCTATCAGCTGGATATTTCTCAACGGAACTGTAAATCTGCAGCTGCAGACGTGGCTTTTGGTTCAAGTAAGACTTCAAACACGGCTTGCCATCCTCGCAAGACGGTGTCACGAATAACAGTGACATACTGTAAATCGTATAAACAATGTAAGCTAGAAATATTTGCGTGAAAATCAAGCTCAACGACGGCCACTGCATTTTCAAAATTCTCTGTGAAAATGTTTATAACACGATCCGCCACCTCATTAGAATTAAACTGTACACGTCGATTTTACTTGATCCGGAAACGCGCTGCTTCGAAATTACGATTGTGACAGCGCAATTTCGATCATACCGCGTGGATTTTATGCGAACGAGGTCTTTGACATTTCATCGACACCAGCGTGTGCGGTTTAAATACGGATTTCTGACGGCAAACCGGTTAAGTCACAACGTCACACTTTGTGACTCGAAAGTTAACAACAGCCATAGACATACAATGTATAGACTGCGCGTCAAATTGGGCCGACGTCCAACTTTAGAAAGAGACAGATTGCTTTCAGAGGACTTGCTATCTCTTGTCTACGACAACAGCTAACAAATTAAATCATAATTGAGATATAAGGATGAATTTTATATGCGATGTATTTTCATGTTCCGAAATTTTGGGGCTTGAAAACCCATTACATACCATTTTAGTGTCATGCCCTACGTTCCCGATAAAGCTCACATTGTTGGGCATTATCACAAACGAGGTATGTACATAGATATAAGAACAGACATCTGATGGTACCACTGGGTACCACTGTGCCATTCGCTGCATAATGACGAAATAACCAAACAAACTCGTGGCGATATCTATGGTACCATGCCCAAGTTATTAGCCAGTTGGTACCCGAATTGATCTCTCTAGGTGGTGCCACCATTTTCATTAATCTGATGACATAAAAGGGAACAGGAGAGTAGTAGGATTGCATACTTGCAAGGAGCTGGCCTAGAAAAGTAAGAGGGGAAATTCGAAGCATTAATAATATATGAGTGGTTTATTCACAACCGGTACCATTAGACGAATCGGTGATTATTTTACATTTATTAAACGCTACAATCTATCACAATAAACTCTTCTTCTCCTCGAACGCGCGAGGCTTGGTATAGAAATATATTTGAAACAACATGCCACTAACTTCCTACTAGAACGTAAATCGTATTTCGAGGACGGCGGTCGAGATCCGCCACGGAAAACTTGCACACCTAGAAGATACATCCGTATTTATTGTACAGTAAACGTACATGTACATATATACAAGCTAGAAGTGGTTGTAGTGGAAAACACGGGTCGAGTCGTCGCTTTCTTCTCAATGTTCTGCTGGATATGTTATAAAGGCGTAAAGCTACAAACTACTTATGTATTTGGTCCGATCCTTTCGTTAGCCCGATTGCGTGTCGAAAATATTGTATGTATTTCAAGTCGACCGTACATGTGCAAGCAAATCAATTGATTTCTGTTACCCTATTAGAACCGTGTGTACTCTTTCAAGTTCGAAGACCGTGAGAAATGTTCAAGCTGGATCTCGAATTAAGAAGAGATAGCTAAATATTACTGGTACAAATAGAAGTTCATAATTACATGTACACAGGCTGTCCCGTTGACTTTATCACTGTTGAACGCATTATAACAGTAGAACCTTTCTGCTACGAAATTTTACAGTTCCTTCGGAAGAAATATCAATTCTTAACAGAAGTTTCTCACCTCGCGGTTCAAGGTGATTATTCAAAGTCAATAAAAATGATATTCAATTGTAAAATCATACCGATTAGTTTCTATGTAAAATACCCCAAACAAAAGAAAATGACTTTGGCGATAAAGTCAGCTGGGTTATCCTGTACAGTTTGGAAGTATTCTCCGACGATTCGTAGGAATTCATTCTTATTAAATCACCTCTCTCCTCCTCCCTGCTCTCTCTGCCACTTTCTTCCCTAGTTATCCCTAGCTAAAAATTAATAGTTTTATTTGTACTTACTGTCCTAAAAAAAAATTGTTCGTTAACCATCCCATCGACAAAGTACATTTCTTATTGCACTGACCAATTATTTCTTTTCGTTTTTTTTACTGCCGCTCGAAACGAAAGCGATCGGCGTCGCTGTCATCCCCGTAAAACATTCACACCTATCGGTTTATTATCGCGGTAGAAAAATATATTACGGAACGGTGCTACTGACAAAATCAAAATCCAGGCGTTATAGAAGAATACTCTGTGTTGCGTATCGATGCACGACGCGAAGCACACAACACGCGCGCGCGCGCGCCCGATACCACTACCAACACGACTATAGGAATGCGTGCGCGCGTCCTGTAATTTTGATGTGTCGTCAGCTGCTCTTCCCTCGAAAACCTCGCGCCTGTACACGCCTAGGATACCTGCGGGTGAACGGATAAAAAAACACGATTTGTTCGCTCTATGCGAAACTTCGCGAAAAATCGGAGTGAAAATTGAAAAAGTTACGGTGTGTACCCGGAAAGTATTCCATTTCCAGTTCGTGTACCGATTTCAAAAAATTGTCCGGCACGCGTCGAGTTTTTTTTTTAAGTACTATTGCTCCAACAATGAAATCTGTTCGTGCACTTCACCGTCAGAAATACTGAACGTTTCCATCCTCTTCACCGGCTGGATTATTTTCTTTTGTCATAGCTTCGTGTGCTTCACACTGTCCGTCCAGTAGTTCTGTATTGTCATCGCCTCCAACGAATTTAGGAACGAGTCGTTATCCAAACTGTACATCTCCTCGGAATTATCCTGCAAGAACCGGGGTTTTGGATCAGTACCAGGTGTAAAATCAATTCCCGAAAGGGCCTTGCAATCTGGACTTGTTAATGACACAAGCTACAGTGAATCATCGATGAGTGTTCGGACGTCATTCCCTCCACTGGGCGTTTGATTGACTCCACGGAATTCCCCTCTCCTCCACAGTGGTGTGGATGACATCTGAACAGTCATCGATGATTTACTGTATCTTGTACCCTTCATGCACTACTATTGAAATCGAAATTAAGAAGGACCCCAAGCGGTATCTTTCTGTAGCCACCGTCCTGCATACTTACACGAATAGTGGAATCGTCAATATATCCGGAACTATCGGGGTTACTACACTTATCGCTGTTCAGGGTCTGCGGTGGATTCAGGTACCTACGCCTGCAACAGACATTCATTAGCATCTATTTAAGTAGTTGGAGCAGTCCGACGCTCTACACTGAGCTAATTACCTGTACATAATGAATCCGAGGCTGCCCATTGTGCTTAGCAAAACAACGGTCGCCAGACAGCTTCCGGTAATGGCGGCGATGTCCACGGTGGATCTCGCGACGCCCTCTTGCTTCGAGTTCTCGCCGTCGTTGTAGTCCGGTATATGATCCTCTTGGACCTGATCCCTTTGGAAATCTTTGGGAAACGCGCTTCTCGCTCGGCTAAGTCGCGTGGGCTCGCTCACGCCAACTGAAATATCAATCACGGAAATGTAATCGTGATAAAATTTGCTTAAATATTGTAATAAATAGCTATTCGGTAGATGATAGTATAGTGTGTTTGATTATTTCACTACGTTCTTGCTTCTATAACATTAAACTTCGTAAACTCTAAACTCTTTCCTCGCTTAGAAACTAATAGGGAGATCGTGCTCTGATCACCTTCGAGGATCGACGCAGCGGTGGCGAACAGCTGAGGCTCGACCAGCTCCTCGTCGATCTCGACGTCGTCGTCGGACCTGTTAAACGTCCTGATACCGGAAGCCCCAGCGGACGAGGAGGCTAACGAAGAGGAGGAGGAGGAGGACAACAACGTCGATGATTTGGTCTTGTTCAGTACCAGCCTGATTCTAGACACCTCTTCCTGAAGAGGCAGCACCGTGAGATCCTCGACGAAGTCCACGCTGTCGTTCCGGTTCCCAATCATCTCCTCCTCCTCGACTTTCTCCTCCTGCTCGTACTTCGACCTGACGGTCTTGTTCGTCGTCAGGATCCACGTGATCTTGCTATCCTTCTTCGTCACTGGGCTACGTATCCTGTCGTAGTTCCCTGCCTTACCGGCCGTATCGTTCGAGTTACCGACACCGCTGCGCCGGAAGTCCTCCGCGGCGACAGGAGTCACGACGACGTTCCCCCGTGGCTCCAAGGGGCTCGTGACGGTGGTTGACGACAGCCTGTCCAGGACCATCGCTGCGTTCGTGGACGGATGAAAACCGATCGCTTTCGCGACACGAAAGCTCTGTCTTTGCGGCACCACGGTTCCCGTGTCCATGATGGAGACTTCCGGCGTCGTTTCCGAGCTCTGGACACGTGGTTCCGTCGTGGTCGACGGCACTGGGTTCCCTAAGATCACTGAACATCGAATACAAACGATTAGAGATACATATTACTTTTGTTTTTGTTCATTCGCGGGAGAGTTCCGTGAATAGGTACATTAAATCTTCGATGTGTGCCCGAAGGCTCTTTGGCACGGACCATGAAATATTTGATAAACTAACGGCTAGATGCAGATAAAACAAATATCATTGGCTTCAGAATCCCAAGCACTGTCACTGTTATAAACTGCATTAAAAATATTAACGTTACACCTGGGTAACTCTTCTTATCACTGTCCAAGAGCCTTCGAACACTCATCGAGAATTTACTGCATACGAAATTCTGAAACTCGTCAATATCTTCCACACAGGAGAATCAAGGTCCAGCTCGGGGCGGAGAGGGTGGATGGGAGGAAAAACTGTGTCGAGGATCGCGGATTCTAGATCCCTTGCCCCCCCCCCCCCCGCCCCTTCGGTCGGGGAGGATAGCTTCCGTTTGCGATTTCACGCGTACACCTCTCTCCCTCCTCGAATCTTATCTGGACCGTGAACGGGAGAGTCGCGTTTAACGCGTCTTTCCGATGGACGGCGCGAAAGCAGCCGTTTGACGAACCGACACGCACGGAAGTCGCGTTGCGAACCAACGCGCGCGCGCTCGTTGCCCTTGATTTACTACGGGATTGTACGGAACGTACCGAGAAATTGAGCGGTAACCCAGAACCAGTGCATCCACCAATGCAGCGTCATCGCGTCATCTGCGTGTACCTGCAACAGACGGGGACGGGCGCGTTAACTGGCAGTCGTTTGAATGATCGAGGTTGCGCAACGAACGAATCGCGAAACGGGAGGGACGGATGATTCACTGATGTTTTTCCCGACTCGAGAACATTCCCAGGGTGTTTGTCTGTCCGTCCATGGCTCTTTCATTCGAATCGTAATATTAATTACCGCTGGAATCAAACTGACAGATGTTCGCGCCAGGAAGTACGATGAGTCTTCGGAAGACGTGGAACGCGTTTACTGTGACGAAGGAATTAAATGAATGGCTTGTTTATCCGTAGACGTAACGAATCGGTACGTTTACGATTTTACTCGTCAGCCTCAATCGGATTAATATCGTATGTACTTAGATAATTATTGCAATAGTGATTACTAAACCGCGGATTATTATGCGAAATTACATTTTCCAGTATGATTCGTAACAACGTAAGCAAACGTAGCGATTTCTATGTAACTTCTTTTAATTATTTTATTGGGTTCGGAGAAAAATAGAAAACTCATTGCATAGGATGAAGATTTTATCTTCTGTTGTAATTCACGGAGTATAGACTCTGTGAACGCTATAGAGTCTATAGTCAGAGTCACTATAATAATATGTAGAGGCTACTAATGCATAAAATCCGCATTCTATTGAGTGTTATTTAATAATAAGACAACGCACGTATTCTTGAACAGGGTAGAAGAACAATTATTTTGCGTTGACGTTCTTGGAAGTCGATTATTATTCACAAATATCTGTTACCTTTCACCAGATTTCCCAGCTACGCTTTCGAAATGTTGAAAATTCGCCTTTAAGCGAGTCAACGTATAAAATCTTGTAATAGAAGAAAGATAATGCGTTCAAATTCTTGGAAGACGAATATTATTAGCGAATTTCTATTACCTTTTACCAGATTTCCTAGTTACGCTTTCGAAATGTTGAATATTCGCCTTTAAGCGAATCAATGTACGAAATCTTGAAAATAGGAGAAAGATAATTTTGCGTTGTAGCTCTTGAAAGACGATTATTATCCACGGATATCTGTTACCTTATATCATATTTCACAATTATGCCTTCGAAATATTGAAAATTCGCCTTTAACGTATTCAAAGTACGAAATCTTAAAAATAGACGAAGGACAACAATTTTGCATTGAAGCTCCTGAAAGACGATTATTACTCACGAATATCTGTTACCTTTTATCAGATTTCCTAGTTACGCTTCCGAAATGTTGAAAATTCGCCTTTAAGCGTCGCCTCGTTCGAGCCTCTGTCGCACGGAACTGGTCGGAGCGGGGTTAATTCGCGACCGGATTTTACGTGTCTCTCGAACGAGTTTCACAGGCGCGTTCTGGGTACAGAGTGCACAGTATTGAAATTTTCAACAGTAGCGTGTACAACGTGTGGACGACAATTGGTGGAAAAAGACCGAAGGATACCGCGTGACGCTGCTGTTCGACGGTAGCCTCTTTGCTAATGCAGTCACCAAGCCACACACCAAACGGTTTAGATAATAAGCGCTTGCGAATAATCACCGTTACGCGGTCTCCTTTTCACGCGACTTTGCTCCCGAAACCAATAACGATACCGAGAAATGAAAATTGCGTGAGTCTTAGGATCGATATGTAGTTTTTTCACTCTTTTCGATGATAAAAATCTTTTCGTTCTGTTCTGAATATAGTTCCCAAGTTGCAAGGTTTTCGCACCTTTGTATTAGCTCTCCCCGGGAGTTCGAAAAGCGTTACTCAATACACTTTGGCTCTCTGGTCCAGATACATACACATATCGTTTTAATACACGACGAAAGGATCGAGAGGTAGATCAATCGTTCCCACATCTCTCGACTCGTGCCCCAGAATCTGATATCACAAACGGCCTTCCAGTGCCTCTGGCGCGGTGTCGAGGTCGAATTTCAGCCGTTCCCGTAAAGTCCAGTCGAAGGTTAACCTTCCGAGCGGATAAATATGGAAAGTGAATGAAGCACACACATGAGGGAAGCGGAGGGAACTGGGTACCCGGTCGAGCTATGCGCTTACGCAACCAGCGGCCTCCGTCAACGAGACCCGCCTCGCCTTCAGGGGGGAAACACGTTCTTTTTTTTATCATATTCTTTCCTTTGGTTCCTCTGTCGGTTCTCAGGCTCGATGGGACCTCGTCGCCCATTCAGGTATGTAACGTCGAAAACCCTTTAAACCCTTCCTCAACCCATTCACCCTTGCGCTCCGACGACAAGCAACCGAAAGGACTCCGTTCTCCACCAGAGATGTGCAAACTAATTATCTAGATAAAAAGTTTCGAATAACGAATAAAAGATAAAAATGTATTTCGTGATTTTTTATCGTTTAAACGTGGAAATTTCAATTTTTTGTAATAAAATACTTCTTTATGAATGAGTCGACATTTGTCGAACAACTATTTAATCTCATTAAATGTTTAAAGATCAGAACGACAATCTAAATACTTCTTTATGAATGAGTCGACATTTGTCGAACAACTATTTAATCTCATTAAATGTTTAATTTTGTTAGATACAGCTGCTTTTCACTGCGTATTATTCGAATAAAATTCTGCCCAACTCCGTTCTCCGCTAAGCGTTCGATCCTCTCAAACGATTTCGAGTCGAAGGTGGAACGAATCGTCCACCGAAATCATGTTCCAAGAAACAATCTAAGAAGGAGGCTGTGAATGAGAGTAGAACGATATCGGACCCAGAGGTTTTTGGTCTAAAAACGAAGTGGCACAGTGGAACGAGAACGGCCAGGTAGATCGACCGACTATATACATCACGAATCATCGCCAATGTTGAATGTGATTCTCGTCGCGCGCCACGATGAGTTCGTGCTGTTATCTACGTGATTCATCCGACTGTTTTATGTAACATCAGCGATCGATACGGAAAACGGAGGTACGAGGGGAACGGTAAAAATAAACTTAGGAATAGATGTATATTCTGTCATCTAGGGAGACATTGGACCAATGTTGCTACTGGGATTTTAAGAAAGTAGTTTGTCCCTCGTAATCGTTTTTAATAGTAATTTTACAAGAGAATAAACGTATAGTAGTAAGGTTATAGTAAATCTTTTTAATCCTGCGTTTACCATTTTTTTCTTTTTACCACGTTTTACCATTATTCTGAATACACGACGTTCTGAAACACACGACGGTTCAAGGCACTTCGTAATCGATATTAATCTATTAATCCTGGTCGCTATCAAATGCAACGATTGGAATTCACCGTAAATATATACCTATTTATTACCTCCACGGCTCAATACACCATCAATCGTCCCACGTTCGGTCCATTTCAATCCTACAACTCCCGTTCCTTCGCGCGCTAACGAGATTTCTCTCTCGTGGAAAATAAAGGAAATTCTTCGACGACAGTCAGCCTTGAAAGTTGCGTGAATCCGTCCCTTGTGTCAATTTGACACATTTTTAAATTTAACCGAGGCTCTGCGAATTTTATTTTAAAGAATTTGCAAATTTAACCATTTATTTCTTTATTATATAAATTCCTTAACACTGTGTCAATATGACACCGAGGGACATGTTGCATTAAATTAAAGGAACGTCTAATTGACGTCACCGTCGATCCGCGGGATTCGGAAGGACTCGAAGCGTTTCTATACCGAGCGGAAAGGGAGCGGCGCAACACTAATTCCGGCATCTCTCTTGTATGTTGTACAGGGTGTTCCATTTAAAATATCAAAAAATGTTTCATACAAAGGTTAAATAAAACCAGAGTATTTTATCACTTTATGATGTTACTTTTTTCTATGTGGACGTGTAAAGGTCATACGAAGGTTAACTTTGTTTTTTTAGAATGGAATCGTATATTTTTTAATGTACTAATTCCCCATAAGTGACTTAGTACTTCATGTACGGAATAACGAGTAGCATCGAGTGGTGCATCAAAAAATATACGATTCCAGTTAAAAAAATAAAGTTGACCTTCATATAACCTCTACGCGTTCACATGGAGAAACGTTACTCTCATCAGGAAATGGGTCCTCTAATACCATTTAACTTCCGTTCGAAACATTTTTTAATATCGTCAACTGTTTCGGAGATATTCGAGTGAGTTGATTTAAATGGAACATCCTGTATAGTCGGTAGGGGTGTGGGGCAGAGGGAACAAATTGCGACATCGCGTCGCGCCTCGCGTGTCCAGGTGCAGTCCTCGGTCACAGTCAAGAGAGCATGACCAGTCTGCGAATATAACTGTACACCAGATTTTTTCGCGTCCCTGGCTTCGTTGAGGACCAAGAAGACTTTATTATTTTTTCTTTCTTTCGCGAAGACGCGCCAGTGTCGCGGTTCGCTTCGACGGCGGCCATCTTGTTACGCCCGATGGCAATCGCTAGCGAAATTAGAAACGATCGCCATGCTTTTTTTCGGACAGAACTGTCTGTGTTTATTATCGAATACTTTTCGTTATTTTTAATACATTCGCTATAACAGGCAAAGATGTTTATTCGCGTGTTGGTTAATTATTTTGTTTTACGACTGGAAACTATTAGGTATAGTCAGCGGTGGGATTCAGACGATTCGTACCGGTTCGGTGGAACCGTTTCCTAACAGTTCCCTTAAAAAGATACTTGAAATATTTTTTACTTAATTATGTCATAAAATTTTCATTATAAGTTTGTTGTTTTCACACTTTTGTAGCTGACGCTGAAGTTCCGAACCGGTTGTTAAATTATTCGAATTCCATCACAGGGTATATAATCTTCTTAACCCTTTCGATCTTTATCGTCAATAATTTCCCAGGAATAAAATAAATTCTGTATTCGTAAAAAAATTTTTGTATTCGTCAACACGAGTCTGACAGGATGTTATAAGGCAAGGGGTTAAAGGGTGAAAGATCGTTACTCAGCTGCATGTTGTGCTCGGAATTGCGCAAGTTACCGTTCAACAATCGACTAGTTAATGGCGCCGATCACCGGTGATCACCAATGACGATCGTAAACGCTCTCGGTCCAATTACAAAACGATCGGATATTCCA